TAGGGCTGTTGTACATAGGGTCGCTATGAGTTGCAAACGGCTCGATGGCACATAACAACAAACAACATGTGAATAACTGTCTCTGAAAACTTTCTGATTCATCAGTACATAACAATAACAAATCTATGAGGAACTGATTATAAAGGAACCTCATCAGGAGTCCATTTATGTCTAAAACATACTACCAAAACTGACTATCTAAAAGGTTTATTAGCATTTTTAAAAAAATTAGAACAAAAGATATTAGAAATACTTTGTTCATTGGTAAAATTAGTAAGTGTTATATTTACTATAGAACTATAGCGAGAAAGTTACATCCACTCTATTATTAACTATATATAAGAAAAGGGAAAGCTTCATACTTTCATAGTAAGACGGTTTGATACTGTTTGTTCTCACTCTCAGCATTCCTGCTCTTCAACCATCACTTACTCTTCACTTTTACTCCCATCTTTTCTATTTAGAAGGCTGGCTAATCAAAATGTGATTGGTTATATCTATATTAAAAATTAACTTCACATACTAGGGCTTTATCAAAGTTTGTAAGATTACAGAAGAGAAGATCTTTTTGTTCTTGTTTTTGACGCTTCTTTGCTAATATTGTTGTTGTTGTTGTTGTGTAATGTTGAGCCAGAACAGATCCATAGTCGACCCTACAGTGGATTTTCAGAGGCAGTTAATTGCACAAGAGGAAATTGCCCATCCTGCTCCTCCTAATAAATACCTCTAAATGTGACAGAATTCAGTCTAAGATTCCCTTTTACTGGAACATACAATAAATAGCATTGTTGACAATGTTTCAATTTTATAGCTGCCCATAGAGACCTTATTGCTATTTTACCCTAAGCCTGTTTGAGCATTAAACAATTAATCTCAGACTTTCTGAGAACTGGGTTAATATTAAATGACTCTGCAAATGATATAACTATTGCTATAATAATCAAATGTGTAAACACACCATTCTGTAAATAAAAAAAACTATCTTTCACCGCCATGCAGGGAAGAATTCCCTCCTATTGTCTAGGTCTAAGCCACATATTAGACATTTATAGAGATTTTTATGAACTCATGCCAAAAAGATGTGACTATCACTTGCCCAAGAAGCCAACCAGCTCAACTTCAACATAGATTGTTTTCATTTTTTGTTATTCTTCAACACATAAAACATGTGGCAGAACGTATATAGCTCCCAATTCCTCTAACTGATATAGACAATGAATGTTTATCAAGAGATGGTGGCCAGACTTCAATGGATAAATTGATTCATGTTTGTCTTCAACACATTCTCTTCAAAAGCTGTTCAAGACATAGAGTCCTCCATTGAAGTAAGAGCAAGACCTTTTGTAGCAATTATGTCAACAGTAAATTTTCCAACAATAGTCTGGAGAGTGTCCTTAATATTGAGTACCAATGAGCTAATTAATATTGTACAGAAATTAAAGTGCAATATCTGCCGTGCACGTTCAAAATATCAAGCCTAAAATTATCAGGACACATTACAGGAGAGGACAAGTTGAAGAATTCTGTATTTCATGAGTTCTTAGTTTTAAAAAGTTGCTTCCTATGTGCTATAAGCAGAAAAGAACATTGAAGCAATGAGAAGCTGAGGAAGGGGAGAAATCACAAGTTGTTACCTTAATTATTATCTAACTCTATACCCTTCTTCCCTTCATCATGAGAGCGCAAACTTGAACTGTAAACAAACTGCTGAGGTATGCTTATTTAACAAAAAGTACTTCTCTTGCTCTCTCTCTATTTTCCCCCCCTTTGACTCAAAGGAGAATTGGAATTCAAAAGTGAAAGAGATTAGTATAGAAAGTGCTGATATATCCTTAGGAGCACTGGCAGCACCGTTTTTGACTGCTAACCAAAAAGTTCAAGATTCTAATTTACCTACTGCCATGGGAGAAAGAAGTAGCTGTTTGTTTCCTTTAAAATTACAGACTTAGAAACAATAAGAGGTAGTTAAATTCTGTTCTATAGGGTCACTGTGTGAAGGAATTATTTGGTTTGTTTTTTTTTTCGGAGAGGGGAGCGAACTGGTGGGGAGGGGTGGGCAGGAAGAAAAGTGCGGCAATGAATGAATGGAAATCCAAAACCTCTGTAAATGTCTATTAAAACGAATAAAAAAAACCACAAAAAACAAAACAAAACAAAAAGAATGAACTCAATAGTAATGACTGGTTTTTTTTTTTTCTTTTCAGTGGGACAAAAGCTCAGTTGCAGTGAGCTTCTGGTGGAGGAAATTTAGGTATTATTTAAAAAGACATGAAGAAGATGTTATATTTCAGAATACTAGCATATGACAAGGGTAATTATTTCCTCCTATTGATATAAAATAATATGTAGGAAGATGACTCTTGTTTTGGAAACTCAGTAACTTACTGATTATTAGGGTGACAGTTAGTGCAACCCACTAGGACATGTTGTTAAGTACCGCTGAGTCAGAGCTGACTATAGCTAACCCTTGAGTCAGTTTTCAAAGGCCGTAAATAGCACAGAAGATTGTCTATCTTTCTCCTGTGAAGTAGCGAGTAGATTCAAACCACATGCCTTTGGGTTACCAGCACAACACTTTACCACTAAACCATAAGAGCATAAAGCTGCATAATTTTAAAAACATTTCTATACCAATTGACTTTCTCTCTAGGGATTTGTGCTGCCAATGCAAAGGCCAAACCTCTCCAATAGTTCAAATCCATTGGCTCCTCTATGGAGAAGGAGAAGCAATCTCCTCCCTTGTGATTTATAGCCCCAGAAACCCACTGGAAGATCAGTTATCAATTGAAAACAACTTGATAGTAATAAATTTGAGGGTTTTTTTTTAAGTCTGAATTAGTGAGCAGCACTATTTCCAGTCTACCCACCTCTGTCCCCATGGTTTTCCTCTTCTATGGCCCTAGCTCTCCCCATAATCCAAGTTAGTGTACAGCTTGATAGGGCCTTCAGAATGCTGCACTAGCCAGTGCCTCTTCTGCTTATTCAGTGCCTGTCGTCACAGTTGCTAAATATTTTGAGTCTCATTCCCTGTTAAGTTGCCAAAGAAATGAGTGTCATCATCAACTACAAATATATTTTTCTTGCTTTTGAAAAGAATCTGCCTGTTGAGTTTAGCATAAATATTTATAAAACTTTAAATGTGCCTTTGATCTAAGCAACACCCATAGCTGATGATTGTCCAGTGGGGTTTCAGAGGCAGTTAACCACATGGAAGGAGACTGTTCATCTTTCTCACACAGAGTAGCTGGTGCATTGGAACTACATGCCTTTGGTTGGCAGTACAATTTCTCACGACTATGTTGTTGTTGTTGTTAAGTGCCATCAAGTTGTAGGCGACTCATAGCGACCCTATGAACAAAAGTCCTGGACACCTGTATAACTTGTTTCCTCCTTCAAAATATATATACAATCTGATCACACTATCTCCGTGGTTATCTTCTAATTTCAAAGCCTCATTAACTCTTGTCCCAACACTCTTGAACACTGCAGTGGTCCTTAGCTGCTCTTCTGGGTGCCATCTTTGTTCTCACACTGATGCTTCTCAGATTCTGATAAAACAAAAGCCATATCACATCACTCCTTTTCTCAGAATCTTCCCACTACATATATTATGCAGAATAAAAGCCAAAGTCAATACAGAGTCTACAAGGTCTTCTCAGCTCCCTTAATTAATTTACTCTACCTTTAGGAGTTTTGGAGGAAGTTAATCACACTGGAGGAGATTGCCCATCTTTCTCCCATGGAGCAGCTGGTGGCCTTGAACAGAGGGCATTTGGGATTGCCGTGTAGCTTCTTACCACTCGGCCAACAGAGCTAGAGCTCCTTTAGTAGGTGGGAAGTCTCTTTAAGCAGGAAACTGCACATACATACACATATATTGTTCAATGCTGTCGAGTTGGAATTGACTCATAGCTGACTCTCCAAGTGGGTTTTCAGACACATTAATCACACTAAATGATTTTGAATTGACAACATGGATCCTTATATCTATCTATCTATCTATCTATCTATCTATCTATCTATCTATCTATCTATCATCTATCTACCTACCTATCTCTATCTACTCTCTGTTGTTGAGCACCATTGAGTCAGAATTAACCCATAGCTCACCCTCTAGTAAGTTTTCAGAGGCAGTGAATTGCAAGAGAGATTACTCATCCTTCTCTCATGTTTATGCATGTATGTATATATGGACATATATGTGTTTTTAAAAGTGAAATGTCAATTTAGCTAGACTAAGATCCTCAATGTGGGAGAAGAATGGGCTATCTCTGGTGGTTTTATTGATATAAATCAGCAGTGATATAATATGCAATTTGACCGTTATGTAAATAATGTAGTCAACCATTCTCTAGTGTTACATAAAGTCAAGTTTCACATAATACTTGGTCTCTGGAATTCAACCAAGTGAGGAGTGGTTATATTTCGTAAAGGAATATTTTCTGGACATACTTTCTCCATCTTCTCCCTTTGAAGTGCCCTTTAAAAATAAAATCAACATAGAATACAATTTATTATGTGCATGCATATGCATGTGTGTGTGCACAGTCCATGTAACTTTAGGCTTTGTAATGTACTGACTGCTTATTTTAATTGATATACAGAAAACGATGGAAAGATTTTTTACTTTATCCTATTTAAATCAATTTGGTAAAAGTTAATGCAGTCAAGATGTGAGAATCTGCTATGAGAAGTAAGACAGATGTTCCGAATCAGAGACTTCTAAATGTTCTTTTTATTTATTTAAACCATATGACTATTTAAGCTTCAACCATATAAATGCTACCTTTGAATCTGTTCTGTCTTTTCCTTTTAGCTTTGAGCTTTCTGCCATGCACTAAGGAAGCTGGAGGTTCAATTCTGAAATACAAGCTTCTTCCCTTCTACCAAAATTCTACCTTCTATCCTGCTCTGATTAATGGAGCGTTCAGACTCAGTCAGGTCACTGTGAGGAGGTTGAATCACACATGTTGGAAGTCTTTTCTTATTAGTCGACTTACTCTACTGATGATGGAGGTCACACTGCGTGTGCTTGGTGCCGGTGACCTTTGAGTGACTGGAGTTGCACAATTGCTCCGGCTACCCTTCGAGGCACCAGGACCAGTCTCTTGGTCATTGATATCTGCTGAACCAATGCTTCCCCTAAACAAGAAAGCATATTTTGACTTGGACATGGAAACAAAGTAGTTACCAAATACACAGTGAGGGAAAAGTATATAAGGAAAATGATGAGGACATGTGAATCACATGAAGTAGAGAAGAACCATATGAGGAATGGTCAGCAATGATCATGTTGCCTTTCCCATCAATTGTCTTCAGGTTCAATCCCATTTTTCTCATGCCAGTGTCTTTGTAGTTAAGCTTCAACTTACCTTTACAGCTGTGTTCTCCATTTTTTTTTCCCTACTGTGCTAGTTTTCTTACTGTTTCATCAACTCACCATGTTCAATTCTACCCCTTAGATGCTCTTGCTCACTTTTTCTCCACGTGATACACACACACACA